ATTAATCAGGTCCGCTCTGATGAATGGCTCTCGGCTTCCTCCGCGCCTCCGAGCTGTGTGAAAAGACTGGGAAATAGACTGCACAAGCCTGCCTTAGTGTTGTGCTCTTTGTTCTGCAATTCCTATGCGTTGCTCCGCACCGCTTCCTGGACACAACAACAACCATTGGAAAGAATTCTGGTGACTGCTTGTGATCTGTCTGTCTGTGTGGCTCGCTGTAAATCACGGCAGGATTCAAGCTGTATCTACACTGGCTGAGCTAATGTCCTAATCACCCGAGGCTGGGGGTGGCTCAATGGGTTAGAACAAGGTCCTTTCATCTCTGAACGCAGTGTTCAAAGTGAGTGTACACTGAAAGGACAGGCTCCTTTCTCCCAGGCTGTGAGGGACGTTGTTAAGTGGGTTCAGAGAAAACACAGCTCGTTTGGAAGCTGGTGGGGCTGAGTGTCCATTTGAGAGGTCTTTTAACCAGCACAAATAACACTAATTTGTCAATCTCACTGAGGAAAGCCACGGGGGGAGGGGTCACACTGCTGGAGGTGTTGATCGCTCTGAAGTTCAGGGTAAAACAAGAGGACCTTTACTGTGTCTCTAACCCTGACCTGGGAGTGTGGACAGACAGTGTAAAGGGAGCTTTACTCTGTCGGTAAACCTGACCTGGGACTGTGGAGGGACGGTGTACAGGGAGATTTACTGTTTCTCTAATCCTGACGTGGGAGTGTGGATGGACAGTGTAGAGGGAGCTTTATTCTGTCTCTAACCTGTGTTATAAGACCATAAGACATAGGAGTAGGCCATTCGGCCCCTATTACTGACCTGGGAGTGGGGAAGGACAGTGTAGAGGGAACTTTACTATTTCTAATCCTGAGATTAAAAGTGTGGACAGTCAGTGCCTTCCCTGGGAAAGTAAACATCCCTAAACTAGGATAAATTTAAACTTACCTGACCCAGGAGGGACTGGAGGGCAGACATATAAAGGAAATATAAGAAGATAGGAGTGTTGCAATCGTGGGGAGTACATAGTATTGAGTCGGCTACATTAAAACAAGGCACAGACATGATCGGCCAAATGGACTGCTGCGCTGTAAATATCTGTGGTTCCATGAGAGTTACGGTCAGGGGAGTGTGTACAGACACTTACAGACAGGGAGAGGATACATAGTGTTACACTGGGGGGCTATGGTTCATGGAGCAGGGTACTCTTGTATTTGTTCCTAAATTGGAGTCCTGTAGCGTAGTGGTTAGAGTGCTCACCTCGCAAGCACGTGGACCTGGGTTCGATTCTAGGCAGTGAAGCATTAGGCAAGTTTCCTTACTCCACACACCTCTGTTCACCTAGCAGTAAGTGGGAACCCGGTCGTTAGTCAATTGGCGGATCGCTTTTCTGGGGGTAATAAGCTCTTTAAAAAAATAATAATTTGTTCATTCAATCCACGACAGTTTGTGGGACACTGCTGTGCTCAATTGGCTGCTGCATTTTGCCCACAAAATATACAGTCAATCCATTTTACATTTATTCTGTGAAGAGCTTGGAGATGCCTCAACAAAGTGATAACATGCTATATCAGATGCAAGTATTATTATTATTATTGGTCTCTCCTCACTTCCTTTGCTCTAGACCCGGCCCTTCCTTGAGCCACACTCCCCACATCCTCAACAACAAAAATTACTTGTGTCCAGAATCTTCCCCGGAGGGAGGACATCCCAGGCCTCTGGAACTCTCTTCTAAACCCTCTGCGCCTTGTTACCTCACACCCACGCAACCATCTGTAGCCTCCCAACAAACTCTCTTTGACCTGTGCCTTTTGTAATGCTCAGATCTCTCGTTTCCCTCCTCACTGTTCTCGCTCTCTATTGGGCCCATCTCCGGTCCACTTTCAGACATCCTTTCAACTGTGAAAAGTGATGTATAAATGCCCACTGTTGTGGTGTGTAACAGGACACCCCCACCTCTGCCTGAGCACCACCCTTCTCACATGTCGCTCAGCCTCAAAGTCGACGTCTTCATAAAAGATCTCACTAAATGGCAAAGTAACCTTATCGCGTTTTTAGGGATTCTTCCTAAAAAGCGGACAAGTTCCATTCAGCTGGTAAACTGCTGAGATCTTTTCCCATCTTTTCATATTTCTGCTTTGTAAACCGGTCTCTGGTTCCCATTGAGCAGCACGTTGGCACAGTGTGTAGTCAGTTCCCTGGTGTCTAGGTGTTCACTACACCTGGGTCACGTTTCTGGGCAATAATAATCTTTGCCTTTGATACAGCACGTTTGTCACATCTTTGAGACATCTCAAAGCGCTGCACAGAATATACCGCAAAGTGAATTGATTGTATATATTTTGTGGGCAAAATGCGGCAGCCAATTGTGCACTGCAGCGTCCCACAAACAGTCCTGGATTGAGTGACCAAATGGCAGCACCTGTCAATCAAACCAGCTCCATCCATACTCCAGCTCTGTCTCCCCTCAACCTCAATGTGCTTTTTCCACCAGCAGCAGCCACACCATGGGGGGGGCTCAGATGAGTTAATTAATCAAATATTCCTATCAGTCTTTCTTTGCTTCCCTCTCTCTCTCTGCTCTCAGTCTCACTGCAGGAGCAGCGCTCTATCCCTTCTGCTCATTGCCTGTCTGTCTGTCAGTCTGTCTGCATATTTGTCTGCCTGCCTGCCCGAGTGTCCTGATGCCCTTTGCTTGGCTCACTGTCTCTATTGCCGTGTTCTTGCCTCCCCTGCAGTGAGCGGGCAGACAGCTGGATGTTGAGGGGGGTTGTGGCTAACATTCGAGCCAGTGACAGGTACAGTGGCTAGCCTCGCTCGCACAGCCTGTGGCTATGTTAGAGATAGCCTTTCTCTCCGTGGCTACATTAGACAGTGTCTGAGCATTAGCCGCCTATAATCCCGAACTGCTGGTACCCCTACACACAGCCCCCCCGTCCCCTCCCCCACCCCACCCCACGCCCCCACACACACAGAGATGCAGTTGACAGTAAGGACCTGTCTTGGAGGAGAAAAGGCAGAGAAAGAAATGCAGAACTCAGCGGTTACCAACCGCACAGTGAAAGGCAGTGTGACTGACAGCAACATAACGACCGCAATACACAATTCACTTTACAGTGTAACCTGTGAAACGCTTTGCAACGTCTCGAAGATGTGAAAAGCGCTATATCAAATACAAGGATTTTTTTTAATATATAACCCCTTTGCCTGTCTATGTGTGTGTGTGTCTGAGCCCCAGGGAGGGAGCACACTAACACTTACAGAATGACACACACTGACAGGGGGGGGGGGGGGGGACACTGACACACACACTGACACACACAGGCAGTTACAGTAACACAGTCTCGGGATGAGTTGTTATTGAATGGCTACAATCCTGTGTTCAGCAGTGGGGGGGTGGGGGTCACTGTGTGTGTAGAGACTGGACACACCGGGACCCCCCCCCCCCCACACACACACACACAGGGGTCAGGCTCTCCACAGTCAGTAGCATCTCTTTGTATGAAGGTCTCTGTGTCTCTGTGCTGTTGCCTCACACACACACACCGTGAGGCGCTCAGCAAACTTTACATTAAACTGAGATTGTACCCCAAACCCTAACCCCCCCTCACCCCAATAACATACCCCTCACTCATACCCTCTCTCACCCACACCCCCACTCACCCACACCCCCACTCACCCCCACTCACCCACACACCCCATCACCCACACACCCCTCCCCCCAATAACATACCCCTCACTCATACCCCCTCTCACCCACACTCCCTCTCACCCGTACACCCCCTCTCACCCCCACACCCCCTCTCACCCCCACACTCGCACACAACCCCTCTCACCCGCACCCCCTCACACCCTGTCACCCCTCACAACTCCTCGCCCACACACGTTCTGACCCTTCACCCACACACACCTCACACACAGCCCCTCAAACACAGCCCCTCACACACAACCCCTCCCCACACCCCTCACACACAGCCCCTCACACACAGCCCCTCTCCACACCCCTCACACACAGCCCCTCTCCACACCCCTCACACACAGCCCCTCACACACAGCCCCTCTCCACACCCCTCACACACAGCCCCTCTCCACACCCCTCACACACAGCCCCTCACACACAGCCCCTCTCCACACCCCTCACACACAGCCCCTCACACACAGCCCCTCTCCACACCCCTCACACACAGCCCCTCACACACAGCCCCTCTCCACACCCCTCACACACAGCCCCTCACACACAGCCCCTCTCCACAGCCCTCACACACAGCCCCTCACACACAGCCCTCTCCACACCCCTCACACACAGCCCTCACACACACCTCACACACAGCCCTCTACACACACCTCACACACAGCCCCTCACACACAACCCCTCACACACAGCCCCACTCCACACCCCTCACACACAGCCCCTCTCCACACCCCTCACACACAGCCCCTCACACACACCCCCTCACATACACAGCCCCTCACACCCAGCCCCTCACACACAGCCCCTCTCCACACCCCTCACACACAGCCCCTCACACACAGCCCCTCTCCACACCCCACACCCCGCCCGCAACTCCCACTATCTCACCCCCGCGACCAGCAAACAAGCAATCCCGACTGTATTCATATCACAGAAGATTTCCTCCCCAAACCCCCCCCTCCCCAACACTCACACACAGCCCCCACACACTGATAGACACACAGACACGCGCGTATAGACACAGACAGAGAGAGAGACACAGACACACACACACAGACACTCAGATAGAACAGAGACAGACAGACAGACAGACAGACAGACATTCCCCTCCACACACACACACACTGACAGATCCACGCACACAAAGAGAGAGACAGAGACACGCGCACACAAACTGCCCCCCCACACCCCCCCACCCACCCACCCACACACCCACCCCCACACACCCCCACACCCCCACACACCCCCACACCCACACACAGAGAATTTGCAATCCAGTAGAAGGTTTTGTGTGTGAAAAAAACCACGAACTCACCTCTCACTGTGCGATGAATCCCTCTTGTGTTCAGACGCTGTAAAGCGAGTGGTTGTGCTGTCAGATGGCTGGGGGTTGGAGGGGGGGGGGGGGGGGGGCTGGGTTAGTGTGTGTGTGTGTGTGAGGGGGGGGGGGAGAGAAGGGGGTGGGGGGAGCTTGGTCCTTGGCTGCTCAGTGCCACGCTCTCGCTCTCTCTCTTTCTCTCTCTCTCTCGCAGTTAAATGCCTTCGGTCGCAAATGCTCTTTAAACCCTCTCTGCGCTGCGCTGCGCTGTCGGGGTTTTCGTTCCCGAGACACTGTTTGCGGAGGAGGCGGAGACCACGGCGGAGGTCTCGGCTGTGTGGGGGAATGTGGGGTTGGGAGCTTTTTAAGCCTGGAAGTGATGGCGTGTGCGATTTACACGGTCAAACCTTCCCTGTTTTAGAGAGCATTGACATCACGCACTCGTGCACTCACTCAGACACTCACACACAATGTCTCTGGTCTATAAAAGACACCCAACCATCCCCTCCCTCTCTCTCTCTCTCTCACACTGATCCTCACACACACACACACACCAATCACACATTCTCACGCACACTCACACGCAATCACACACTCACACCCATACACACACACACATTCTCACATACACACACTCTCACATACAGACACCCCTATATACTCACCCCCACACCCATATACACACACACATCCTCACATACAGACACCCCTACATACTCACACACACACTCACCCCCACACCCATATACACACACACACATCCTCACATACACACACTCTCACATACAGACACCCCTACATACTCACACACACACTCACCCCCACACCCATATACACACACACACTCACATACACACACACACACATCCTCACATACACACACTCTCACATACAGACACCCCTACATACTCACACACACACTCACCCCCACACCCATATACACACACACACACTCACATACAGACACCCCTACATACTCACACACACACTCACCCCCACACCCATATACACACACACACATCCTCACATACACACACTCTCACATACAGACACCCCTACATACTCACACACACACTCACCCCCACACCCATATACACACACACACATCCTCACATACACACACACACACACACACTCACATACAGACACCCCTACATACTCTCTCACACACACACACACACACTCACACACTCAACAATGACGACCCCTTCCTGCTCTAAACTGCCCCTTTTTCTATTCAGCAGTAGAGGTTTAATAAGGACCACACATTAAATGATATAATAATAATAATAATCCTTGGATTTGCTGGGACCTTGCCAGTGCTCCCGGATGCTACATCACGTGAAGGGCGATATAGAAATGCAAGTTGTTGTTCTTGATATAGCGCCCTAGCATATTGTTGAGACAACTCAAGTGCTTCACAGGATATACTGCAAAGTGTAGTGACTGTGTGTTTTGTGGACAAAATGCAGCAGTCAGTTGCGCACTGCAGTGCCCCACAAACAATGGTGAAGTGAGTGACCAATTTTTTTTTGCATAGGTGGGGGAGGGGGGGTCACTGAGTTGATATGTGTTAATGCTTACATGGCATTGCAGTCTGCTTATCTTATACATGTAAGATTATATTTGCAATGCATATTTTTTATAAGATTTTTAATCAGTCTTTATACACTTTTTAGAATGTAACCAGACACTTATAATTTTTTTAGAATAGCATTCGTTAGTTACCAGGGCATGGACAAAGTTGTATGCTTTAAATGATTAACTTAGGACCCCTGAGAGGGTATATGTGTATCTTCTTGCTGGGAATCAAACCCAGGTCACTCGCTTGTGAGGCGAGTATTCTCACCACTGAGCTAAAGGACACCACAAGTTTAATAATAATAATAATAATAATCCTTGCATTTGATATAGCGCTTTTCACGTCGGGAGGACGTCCCAAAGCGCTTCACAGAACACACTGCAAAGTGAATTGACTGCATATTTGTGGGCGAACACGGCAGCCAATTGCGCACAGCAATGTCCCACAAACAGTCGTAGATTGAAAATGACCAATTTATTATTGTTTTTGGTTTTGGAGGGATTATTAGGCTCTGTGTGGAGTAAGGAAACTTGCCCAAGGTTTCGCCCTCTGCCTGGAATTGAACTCAGGTCTCTCACTTGCAAAGCGAGTGCTCTAACCACTGAGCTACAGGACTCCACGATTAAGATAACGATCCATAATTCCTCATCAAACGCCAGCTTGCTCAATCCCATGCGCCAGCAGTAATGAGCTTCCTGGCTCTCTGTCCCATTCTCTGGAGCGCCATCTCACATTCCCTCACCCTAATCCTTTATCTTCTTGACCAAACTTCAGTCACTTCCCCCTCCCCCCCCCCCCCCACAGCTCCTTCCCCAAATCTGGATTGCAATCTGCTGTGTGAAGCACTTTCAGACATTGAGACATTGTCCACACATGAAAGACGCTGTATAATGTAAACATGTTGTCCTGGATTTGTTTAATAAGACGGTGCCACCAAATATCTTGCATCTAGATTTTCAGAAAGCATTTGAAATCGTGCGTGAGAGAAAAAGAGGGAGGCAACGAGAGAGAGCAAGAGAGACAGAGTGAGAGTGACAGGAGGCAAGGGAGAGAGAGTTGAGGGAGAGTGAAAGAGATAAAGTGAGAACAAGAGAAAGTGAAAGAGGAAGTACAAGAGATGCTGTGTTAAATCTCCAGCATCCTCGAAGGGAAAAGAATGTTCTTCCCCTTCTCAGGTGGGGAGATTCAATCAGGGTTTCCATTGATTCCAATTTCATAATATTTCAGATTGTCCAGAATTTGTCATTCTTTCATACAACCTTAATGTTAAAGCGGATTTTCTGTAAGTTTCTTTTCTGAACGTGGGAAAAAACATGCTTTAAGTTAATACTGAATTGAACAATTTGCCAAATTCTGGGTACTGTAAAGTGGTACTGCGGAGGAAATGTAGACCCAGGTGGACAACTTCATTGGTGCTTAGTGATCATTCTTCAATAATAAATAGCGTCAAAGAACAAATAATAAATAATAATAAATAAATAATCCTTGCATTTGATATAACACTTTTCACGTCGGGAGGACGTCCCAAAGCGCTTCACAGAATACACTGTAAAGTGAATTGACTGTATATTTGTGGGCGAACGCGGCAGCTAATTGCGCACAGCAATGTCCCACAAACAGTCGTAGATTGAAAATGACCAATTTATTATTGTTTTTTGGTTTTGGAGGGATTATTATTAGGCTCTGTGTGGAGTAAGGAAACTTGCCCAAGGTTTCGCCCTCTGCCTGGAATTGAACTCAGGTCTCTCACTTGCAAAGCGAGTGCTCTAACCACTGAGCTACAGGACTCCACATGTTCTTGCTGTGGCTGTGAGCCAGGCAGGGACACGCCAGGATTGTCCTCGACTCAATCTCCCAATGGTCAGAAACTGTAGGTGTGTGAGGTGGGACAGATGGTTGGTTAGTGGGGTTTTGCGGAGGTAAACATGTTTGCAATTTGTAAAAACAATTGAATAATTGGATATTTTGTTGGGTGGTTGTGCTGAATGATTGGTTGGTTGGGTGGATAGATGATTGAAGTTTGGGTGATTGCAGATGATTTGGGTGGGAAGATAGATGATTAGGTGGGTAGATTGACAAGAAATACCACACTTCTTGAAGTTATTGAATTAATTTTTTTGCATAAAGATTTCACCAATAGAAACAAATAATAATAATCTTAAACATCTTCAAAACCGCTCTTCAAATGACTGGCAAATCACAGTGTAGGTAATTGGGAGTTATGTGAGATTGAAGGATATCCCTGCAAAATTGAACAAACCTATTTAGAATTGTAGGAATCTATTTCCCCCTGCTGGTACAGATACAAAATATAAGTTACTTGTCCTCGCAGCGTCTCACAAGAGATAATCAGATGATAGAATTCAAAATCCTTATCTTCAAAGCCCTCCACAGACTTGCTCCTTCCCACCTCTGTGACCTGCTAACTCCACATCGCCCTGTCCGCTCCCTCTGCTCAGCAGACTCCGACCTGCTCCACATCTCCCACCTGCCCACCTCACCAGTGCCGATCGGGTCTTCACCCTCTCTGGCCCAGACCTTTGGAACTCCATCCCTCACTCCTTTTGCTCCTTCAAAGTATGTACCCTCCTCTTTGACCGCACCTTCAGTCACCCTCCTCCCTACCCTCTTTGCCCTCCACCGTTCCTAATCCCAATTCCCTGCTTGGGTCCAAATCCCTGACTTACCAGTTGCTTGGGACTCCGTCCAATGTGAAAGGCGCGTTGTTGTTTTCCTGGGGTGTTTCCTTCCCCAAATGCTATGATTCAACTTCCCTCAATTTCAAAGGTGGGCACATTGCAGAACCTGAGCTACAGCTGATTGACAAGATTTAGATGTAATTAACAACACTGCTTCAAAACACAAGTATGTGCAACCAGTTGTAGTTTACTGATGAGATCTGGACAGAAGCTAGGCCCAGCACAGACTATTGAAAACATTCAGGAACCAAGTTACTCATTCATTTGCCATCTAGCCAATCATCAACTCAACCCAACCAGCCATTCACCAACCCACCCGCCAATCAACCCGAGGGACTCTGTCCTCGGAAGTGAAGGAGACGACACGCCAACCTGGATCAGATCATGGCAAGGTGATATGTGGTCAAAATCCTAGACATGCCCAGCATCATACCTCTTCACAGAGCCAACAGCCAGTCTTATTGAGATGAATGGACACCACTGACTATATTCATACTTCACAATAGCTGCTGTGTTGATGAAATGACCATGACTTGAAGAAGCTGAATTTTAGACTTTTTATAGTTTGGGCATCCGCCTTAAACAAGATACCACAGATTTTGGCAGAATCGAGAGAAGGCCATCAAGTATATTTTAGTTCTGAGAACCAACCAGGAATGGGTAATTAGGAAAACAATTTGAAGATTGGCTGACTAGTTTCCTTGATGATTTTGTGGATGGCTTGGATTGGTGATTGGGTTGGGTTAGTGATTGGCTGGATAGGTTGAGTTTGTGATTGGCTGG